ACAGTCTTCAGATGGTTGTGACAAACTGCAAGGTTATTTAGTGAATATTCCATTGTAGGAATCAAGATACGTTGTCTACCTTAATGGCAATAAAATATATCCCTGTATTGCTAGAATGTGACTTCACTAAGGTAACCCAGTCCATCTGTGTTCAGAATTACAAACCCACATTTAAATTGTACAAACACACATAAAAAAGTGAATAACAAAAACACTGGTTCTGTTTTCAATTTTAAGGCAGTTTACATGGTGCGCCAGGTCAGGAAGAAATAAACTACACATACACATACCCACATATATATATATATGTGTGTGTGTGTGTGTGTATGTGTGTATATATGTGTTTCTAACTTGCTCATTTTTAATCAATGAGATCATCAGTGCATCCATAGTAAGAAAATCTATTCCTCTGGCTGGAAGAGAACCACTTAATGAGAATTAGTTTTGTGTATTAAAAGGCTATTAAGTATTCAAATGAACAAAAGCATGATCCACTGCTTCCACAGAAATGTCAGCCTCACACACACAGGTACATATTCAGTGCAAATATCTAAATTTGAAGACATGTAGAACTATTAATTTAAATTATTGGCTGAAAATTTCATTGTAGCTCTTGCCAGTCATGATGAATATGATATTGAGTGATGGAATAAACAGTGAAGGGATTTGAATTTGTTTACACTATTTGTCTTGTGTAAATCTGATGACTCACTATTCTTTTGTGCCAGACACTCTATAAGGCACAGGAATATAATGAAAAATATGACAAATCCTTAATGAGGGCAGAAAGCCAAGAACAGGGCAGTTATGGTAATGTGATATGATCTATAATACATATACATAGAAAGTGCTTTAAGAGCACAGGAAAGGGACTCTAAGGCAGCCAGCCTGAACTGCCAGAGGAGAGAGGACAAGAGAGAGGCACCAAGAACACTTTTTTAAAGTGGCATCTTTGCTTATTTCGAAAGGATGAGTTAGAATTAGTCAGACCAAGAGGAGTGGCTAGGGAGTGAGAGGAAAAACATTCCAGGCCTAGGGAGGTAACTCCTCAAAGGCCAGAAGGCAGAATCAGCATTGTCTAGCATGGTGGGCATGTGTATTTCTTCAGAACATCTCAAAATGTTCTGGACTATCATTCTTTGATGACAATGTGCAAATGTATGTAGGGTTGACATAGAAAGAGAAGAGTAAAGAAGCAAAGCCCTCAGACAGCTAATGATGTTTTCAGAAAAGTTGATATTTACATTTCCCTATGGCCTTCATATAAGCATCTTGGGGTGGGGAGAAACTCAATCTCTTCACAATGTCTTCCAACATTGGGTTATGCAAGGACACTAGTGTGATCTACATTGAGCCTTGGATCTTTCCAACCTCCTAATCCGCATCTTCTTTGTTTTCCAAGCACATAATACTTCACCTGTCTTGAAATGCTTTTCTATAAAGCCAGGTTTACATTCTATTTTTATTTTTTTATACAGAGAATTCCTGGGAAGATCTAGGATTAATGACTGAAAAGCTTTGCACATGTTAACTGATATGGGGTGTAGATGAATATCTAAAGGTGTGCCTTAGTTTTAAGAAAACTTTGCTTGTGGTGGGATATAAATGAAGGGCAATCTGAAGTCATATTTAAAAACATATACACACTGAACACAGAACTGATATATAGTATTGATTCTGTTACTTAGTCTGGGGTTTTCAGATTATAGCACATTATTAATAAAATGGTTTAATTACCTAGTCTATCCACATATATTATAAATGAAGAATAGGGCCCAATAGGGTTGATATGATTTTCTCACTCTACACATAACTAGCTAGCCACAAAGTTTGGATTTAAAGCCAGGTTTCCTAAAGTTTAGTCCAGAGCTTTTGTAAACTTGCCACCATTTTATCTTCATAGTTTACATTTTTAAATCATTATACATATATTAGAATACAAAATTAAAAAAAAACCTGCAAGATTATTTGTAACACTAAAGACCTACCAAACATATTTTAATTTTCTGATGGTTCATAATGTATTTTAGAGACCCTACAACATCTCTGTGATTCATATTTTTATTTACTATCAAGGTAATAGAGATTTACAAATTACTAAACAACAAAGTCAAATGAATAGAATGTCATAATAGAGTGCAATAGAGTGCACTACTTCCACATTAATATAATTGATAGAAATAACACTCAAAATCTCCTCAAACAGCTGGGTAAGATACACTTCTTAATATGAATAAGCCATCCAAAGTTGCAGATCTATTCCTAATGCAAGTAGTCTTGTAAACAGGTGTCTATGATAAATGGCATTATCACAATAATGACTCAAAAGTATTTTATACTCATTCTCTACTCAGTTTTATTTGCACACAGGTATATAGGAAGAGAAATTATATAATAAATAATAATTCTGAATAATAATTCTGGATTTTTACCAACAACCTGTGTGTAAACTGAAAGGCATATAAAAAGAGGGCTAAAATATGGATTATATAATTAACTTTACTCAGAATTCAAGTTATAAAAGACACTATTCATTGCCTACAGATTTCCTCTTGAATTGCTTCATGATAATCAAGAAGGACATTGTTGGGTCTACTTGAATTTCAAGTCAGGAATGTTCTTTACTGCTGAAGCAAGCATTTCTATTTCAGAAGCACTTTCATGGGCCTTCAGATGGTTAGCTAAATATACTTAGCATTCGAGGATGTGTGCATTTTCCAACAATTGCATTAGACGATGCTTACATATGCACACAGTAAAATGCGACTATTTTAACAGAGTCATAAAACCTTTAAATAAGATGCCTCTTTTTGCAGAATTGGGAGAATTGTAACTGGTTGATTTTTTTTCAACTACATGGAGATAATGATAGGGAAAACTTGATTACAAATCTTAATAATCTTTATAAATCTTTATAATCCTATTTCCTAACATTTACATTTCTGATTCACAATGGCCATGTTCATCTCTGTCAAGTGGAATGATTTAATGATAGCCAGATACAACTGAATGAAACACATCTTACAAAAACTAAGGCAAGCATTTTGTCTGTTTAGAATAATCACAAAATGTCATGTGACAGGATCTAGAAATGCAATTGTCAGCAAGTATTTCTGATCAGTCACAGTAGGATGTGACCACCTGAATAAATATGGCATAGAATTATAATTCCAATTTTGCATTTTTTATTACTACATTCTCTTCTGGTAACCAGAGCAGCATGTGGACAGCAAGGGTTCCAGTACCTACTTGGACCACACAGGACTGCAGTTATTCTGGGATCACGTGGTCCTTCTGCTTCCTGACCTGACCTCTTTCACCAGAGAAATCAAATACAACAGGCCTCACCACACACACTTATAAGGTAGGGACTAGGATGGGAATATTGAAGACATCAACTAACAGGAGATATTGGCCTTTAATCACTTGATTTTTCAGCTGTTCTATGGCGTGGATAATTGAGTGATGGAAGTGATCAGGAGAAAAAATAATGATGGATGTTTCCATCATTCTTTCTAACTCTAAAATAGAATAGGCAATTTAATGGACTATGGTTATGAACTTCGTTCTTTAATTTTTCTTTTTGTCGCAACTCTTTCATCATGCTGGAATAAAAGTGAATACTGGCTCATAAGAGAAAGTTTTTCAAAGGAACAGTGTCTTGAGAAATGATATTCCTTTGAGTCAAGAAAAGAGCTTGTGAAAAAAGAGCCATTCCAGAACATAAGAAGAACATATATAACAAAGGAATGCATTAGAAATAATGAAAGTAAATCCAGTGAAGGAAGTTGTATGGGCAAGAAAAAGAATTAATAGACATAAGTTTAGAAGATTAAACATGGAAGCAAGAATAAAATGAAGATAACCTCTGACTCTGAAGGTCAGAGTTATGAGGAAAATGAAGAGAGGTACATAGAGAAAAGCTGTTTTGCAGTATAGGGAAGAGAATCCTCATACTAGCATTCTGAAGGATGGAATATGGGAACATAAATCAAAGTGCATGGGAAATAAAATTGGGATTGAGAAAATGGAACAAAAAATGATTGAGGGAGTTAGAATGTAATCATTCTAAATTTTAAAGAGACTAATATATGTAATTTTTATAATTTTAAGTTTATGATATTTTAATTATATTTTTTAGCTCAGAAAGGATTTAAGGAAAAAGAATTACTAATATCACTACCCAACTTACTGGACAGTGACCCACGTGAGAAAAATATTACTTATATGTAATGGAGGCAGAAATAAGATTTTAAAAGAATGGAAGATGAGAAAATTTGGGGTACGCATGGGTTATTTGTATCCTAATTATAGTCAAAGACACTAAGATTGATACTTGTGAGTATAAACACTGAGGTCACATTTTTTAAAAAAGGAAAACGGTACCTTACATCCCTTTGGGTACAAATGAGAATGTGACTATTGCGGATGTGGAATAAGGATGAGAAGAAATGGAAAAATTTTGTTCTCTTCTTGTTTTTTCCTTCTTCAATTTTCATTTTTAGCTACATTTGCTCTCTTGAGAAACAGACTTACAAAATGTACACAAATGTGCAAATATGTAATAATGTTTCAAATAACATGTTGAAATCAGGCAATCAGTCACCAAAAAATTCAAGGCAAACTTCTATGGTATTATCTGTTTCAGAATATAATAATGTCTCAAACATCATGCAAAGCAGCTCAAAAGATACAGGCTGGATCCATGCCTATTGGGCAACAAAATCTGTACCACAACTAAATGAGATGTTACATAGCACAGGCCTTATATTTTGTTCTAACCCTAAGGGAATATTTTCCTGATGATTACTGAGATTACACTGAAGTATTTCTGCTAAGATCAACTTCATAATGACCAGAGAAGAATGATCTCATCTTTCAACATAGTGCAGATGCAGCCTGAGTGTAGCTTCCTCTTTGTCCTTCTGTGGGAAGAAGCATCATGGGAGACCAGGGAGAAAGACCCCCATGACTGCAATAGAAATATTGGGCAAACCTACCTTTTGTAAAGAAGAATAGCTATGACAATGCAGATGATAAAGACCACCGCAAGGACAGGCCCTACAACCCAGATCAAGCCTTCTTCTTCATCTGTAATTGGCTGTGGATCCAGATCCATTGATACAACAGGGTCGGAATAAGGGCTGGTTGCATACATCTTCTGAGAAAAAAACAGAGTCTATATTAGTTATAAAATAATGGCTTTCTGGAGCCAATCTTTAGCATTAGAAGATGCAGATTCAGTAGTAGATTTGAAGATAAGTGTGTGGGACAATGTTAGTAAAAAAAAGAGGGGAAGGGAAGGAAGGACAGAGAAAGGAGAAGTGGATGAAAGGGAAAAAGAAGGTAAGAAGGGAAGAGGGGAGGAAGAAAGAAAGCAGGGAGAAAAGGAAGGGAAAAATCTGGTTAGGCATCTAAATATCTTTACAGGATGAAATCTTTTATAATAAAATCATTTTTGATGGTAAAAATCACTCTACAGATACTTTTTTATGGTATCTATATATGGCATATTACATGATCTTATGATGTCTAAATTAGAAATAATCAACAGTCACAAAATATTCATTGAGCACTTATATTATGTCAATGTGTTAAGTGCTATGCCAAAATAAAGAGAAACACTATAGTTCCAACCCACAAATCATTATCACTCAGTTAAGAATGAACACATTTTAAAAGTAAACATTTATGGAGCAAAATGTCAGCATGCAGCTAAATGTTAAATTCTGTAAATAGTCCTTTATGACATACATTAGTTAAAAACATGCTAAACAATGGACAAACAAAATCTACAACTTGAGAAGAGATGCCTAATGCTCAAATCATAAATTCAACATGTATGGAATTCATGATGTGGTTTCTAGAATATAGAAATTGTATGACTGAAAAAGATTTAGATGCACCCATTTAATTTTATTACAGTTATTGCTCAGAGGTTAGAATGCTGATTTCTAATAGATAACTGATACAGAGAAAAGGAATGCAAATTGGTAAAGCCATTAAGGAAAACAGAAGTTTCTCAAAAAATTATACATAGAGCCTCCCTGCTGGCCTAGGGGGTTAAGTCTCAGTGTTATCACCCCTAGAGCCTGAGTTTGATCTTGGCCCAGAGAGCTAACCCACACCACAGCAGACCTCTCCTGTCTCATCTGCTGCTTCCCTTAGCAGTATATTTCAGTAAATCTGCCTGTTCTGCTCTCCACCCTGTCTCTGGTGAATCTTCTCACCCCCACACCTTTGGTCTACACCCCAGTTCATCTATGCAAAAGTAATTTAAAAAAATTAGAAATAGAACTACCATACAGCCTAGCAGTTCTACCGGGAATATATATCCAAAGGAAATAAAATCAGTATCTCAATGAGATACTCTAAAAAGCACCTTAACTGCAGCATAACAATAGTCAAGACATGGAAACAATGTAAGTGTTCCTTGATGGGTGAATGGATGGATGGACACTCCACACATATACACACAGGGAATACATTCTGCCACAAAAATGAAGACAATTCTGCCCTTTGTGACAACATGGATAAATCTGGAGGGTATCATTTTAAGCAACATAAGCTAGACAGAGAAAAGAAAAAGAAAAAAACACAGGACGATATCACTTACATGCAGTTTCTTTAAAAGAAAAAGTCAATTGCATAGAAACAGAAAAGAATGATTGCCAGGGACTGGGACAAGAAGCAAATGAGATGTGGGTTCAAAAGGTACAGAACCTCAGATAAGAGACAGTTCCAAGGATGATGACAATAGGTAATACTTTATTGTATACTTGAAAGCTGCTGAGAGCAATCTCAGTAAGTAATCTTGGTGAGTATAATCTCACACATCCCACCCCTACGGAAAAGGTAACTATATGAGCTTTACTGCTGTAATCATTCCACAATGTACACTTTCAATATGTTAGGGGGAAAGGATGTCCTGAGATAATCCCATACAGGCTCTGTGGACTCCACCCCCACTCCAGACTAAAGCCATCAGGACATTGGGAAAGACAAATCCCATCACCACCAAAGGGAGGGTGGCTGGGACCTGAGGGTGGAGTTAAGCAGCCAGGTGGGGTATAAAAACCAAACACATGGGCCTTGGGGGGCTTGCTATCGCTTGCCTCCTGACTTCACGGCTCCTGGCTCGCGGCCAGCTCTCAGAGTGCCATTTTGGGATTCCTGATCGGCGGATCGGGTAGGACTCATTTAAAACTTTGTCTCCCACTTTTCTCCCAGAGCTGTACATTTCCTCATTTCCCCTTCCCTTGTAAATAAACCTTTTATTAACCTTTCACGTGTGCCCGCAGTACAGCATTGATAAGTCCTTTTAAGCGCGCGGGTGAGGAGGACCCACAGTCAGGCACCCCGTTTTGTATCGGGGTTGCTCTACAACAAATATATCCCTCTATATTTGTCTATTTTTCCTCAAAGTTGAAAACAGCAATTTGGTGAAGAAATGGACTGAAGTCTATGAACTATTTTTATAAAATCCTATTTTAGCCTGTCTCTGCTCACTTTTAGGGGCCTGTCCTTTCCTTTTCCAATAAGTGACCAATCCACATCCGCCAGCTGTCCCACCTGCGATGTGGCTTACTGCCATCTCTTCTCACTCCATGGCCACCACTGGTCCTATTCATTCATTTGTCAAATCTAATTATCATTATGCAATCCTTACCCTTCAAGATAAACTTCCCAGATTTGTCACCATTGATCAAATTTTCTTTACAGCTCCTTCTCTGGCTGTCCTAATTCCCTATGCAACAAGTTCCATCCTAATCTTGCCAAGTGATCACATCCTGTTGAGTTTACTGCCTTGGAATCCATCCTGTGCAATTATTCTTCACTTGTGTTTCCTGCTAGTCTCTCATTTTCTCCCTTGTCTACCAAGCTCATCCCCAGCATTAACTACCAACTTCTAAGTGTGTTACTTCCTCTAAAGTTCCTAAACTCAGAAAATCTGCCAAGTTCCAGACCTTCATATTCAACTGTTTCAAGAGATTCCTACAGGCATAAACACAAATTGTGCTATTTCCCTTTTCCCAGATATACCTGTTAACTTGTCAACTTTTCACATCTTCCCAGTATCTGGGAATGAAAAACTGAGTTTATCTTATCAATAACCCTTATCCATAATCAAGTCCATCTACCTTTTTACCATTCTTTTGAGCATTACTTTTCATTCGTGTTTACCCAAACTATATCAAGAGTTCTTTCTTTCTTTAGTTGACTCTACTTCTATTCTCTCTGGTGATTCCTAAATAAAATCTAGACATCTTAGCATTGTTCTTAAGAGACACCACAATTTTGTTTCAAATATTCTTACCACATACAACATTTCATGACAGCAAATTTCTTGTTCCTATTCCCCAAATGCACCATTCTCTAACCCTCTCACAAGTTCCACAGCCTCCTGCTTCTAAAATTCATCTAAGCTTTAAGACCCATTTAAATATTACCATTGTTGAGCTACCTCTCCTTACCTAGAAATAACCAGTCATTCCACAAATTTATATAAAAAAATTTAAAAAAATTAAGTTGTCTTTTAGCCTTTTTTAATGGTATTCACCCAATTCTACCTTGGCTTTTTATTTGTACAAATGCCTTTAAAAAATAAAACTAACCTTCTGGAAGGTAGATTGTATTGTTTAAGTACTTAGCACAGAACTTTGCACTTAGGGAGTTCCCAGCAAATCTCTGTTGAGTAAAATAAAATGTTGTTCTTTTCTGATGACTGACATTATAAGGACATGCGAAGATATGCTCACTTTTGCATGTTCAGTAAATACACTTAATTTAAAAAAATCTTCATTTAAAAAAGGTTGGCTTAGGGTCTATATTATGAAGATAAATACAATGAGCTGAGTAGTCAACCAGGAGAATACATGCTCTCATAGATGCTTCCCTCCTTTTTTCTTCCCTGTGACCAGGAAAGAGGTTAACTGTTCTTTTAGGTTTTCTAACACATCAAAATACAAAAACCCAGTATATTTCTAACCTTCTAACCTGCATATGTGTGTGTGTATGTATATATACATATATATAAATCTATATATAAATCTATATCTATATATAAATACAAATTTGTATAAATCTATATATATGTATAAATATATATAAATATAAATTTGTATAAATCTATATATATATGTATGTGTAATACACACACACACACACACACAAAGGAGTTGCAAAGAAATAATAACCAAGGAACATGATTCCATATAATTGATTGTTTTGATTTATGCTTTCCCCTATGCATTTTGCAGGTTACATTCAAATTGGCAGAAAAAAAAGTAAGCAAAAATTTGTGATTTGGAATTCTTTCCCAAGAGTCTTTGAAACAATAATTGTGGTTAGTCAAGATGGAAATATTAGCAGAGCTTTACCCAAAGCACAGAATTTTCCAACACAAATCAGGAAACAGAGACATGTGAAAAAGAAAACAATTCTACCTTGGCTTTTTATACACCTTTAAAAAAATAAAACTCAACCTGCGGTGGTGCAGCAGGTTGAGCACAGCACTGTGAAGCTGTCCACAGCCTCTGTGCTGCCAGTTCAATTCCCCAGTGGCCAGGGAGATTCCCACATGGTGTGGCAGACCTCTCCTGTCTCTCCCGCTGCTCCCCTCAGCACTGTACTTCGATCCTTCGGCCTGTTCTGTTCCCTGCACTCTCTCTGGTGAATTCTCTCACCCTCCTGTGCCTCTGGCCTGTACCCCAGTGCTTATATAATCTTTTAAAAATAAATAAATAATAATAATAAAAAGAAAACCAAATGGAACCATAAGATGATACAGCCTCATATAAAGTAGACTTTGTTCATTGTATGGGGGATAACAGGAAAAATAAGACCTCTGGACTCTCTAAAATGAATCCTCCTATATTCTTAACATGAGGCAACGATTTAAGGAAAGCTACTTTTGGAGTGGGTGGGAATTTTCTCTATGCAAAATATTGGTTCACACCTGGAGTGCTGAAGTACTTTATTACTAATCAGTCAAGAAAATCTGACACTTACAAAAGGATATACCACAGATAACATTATACTATTTGTTTTTTTTTTTCACACACATAAATTAAATCTTATTTTGAAACACTTTTTATTTATTTTTTTTATAATAAATTTTATTTTTATATTCCCCATCTCTTCCATAATATTAAGGCTGGTCTGGTAACATGTATAAAGAAAATGCTGTCAACTTTGAGTGATACTGAGACAGATAATAGCAAAAAGGAACATTGAAAATATTTTTGGCAAAAATCTAAATTATATAATAAAACAACATGATACTCTAAGGGAAAGGACAGACTCTTCGTCAATGGTGACACATTTTTTTGTTTGTTTTAAGATTTATTTATTTATATAAGCACTGGGTACAGTCAGAAGTACGGGAGGGTGAGAGAATTCACCTGAACCAGAGTGGGGAACAGAACAGGCAGAGTGACGAAATACACTGCTGAGGGGAGCAGTGGGCGTGGCAGGAGAGGTCTGTTGTGCCATGTGGGACCCTTACTGGTGGCCGGGGATAGAACCAGTGCTTCGCAGCCCAGCAACCAACTGCTGCGCCACCAGGGGAGGCCCCAACAGTGACACATTTGAACACTAGTGAAATTCAGGAGCCAGTAGACAGAGTCCTTGACAGTGACACCATCAGCCTGCTTGATCAGATAAAATTTCTGTTTTCTGCTGGATTCTCTAATCGACCTCCAAGCTCTGAACATGCTTTCTGAAATCTCCAAAAGCTATTTAAAGAAAACTACTTTCAAATACCTAAAAGTCATTTTTTTTTAAAAAGATATTTCCAACGTCCTAGTCCCTTCATGGTCTGCCTCAAAACCTTCAAGTAGAAAGAGAACATGTATCTGTGTATTAAAATTCCAGGAAGCCTATCACATTGTTTTCAAAAGACATTCTGTGCACAAAGGTAAACCAGGCAGAAAGGCAGCCTTTGTGTTTTGATTTTCCACGAGGGAATTCCTTCAGTCATTTGAAGAGAAACCCCACTGTACATGGTAACACCTGATGTGGAGAAATCTTTTGATAGATCACGACTTCTTTATATGGGAAGTGACTGGCTCAACTGAGTTGCCACACCTGTCAGTTTTAGGTGCTATTAGAAAGATATGGTTTAGAATGTGTATATTAAATGTTAATGTGAGCTGCCACATCAAAATCCTCCCTGCTTTCCATTTACAAATTCTCTTCCTCTTTTTTTTTTAACATTCAAAGCAACTGAAGCATAAAAAGACATAAGAGTAAGATGAATTACATAAAAGAAGACAACTCATTATTTAGAGTACCTTAGGAATTCTCTGTCTTATTGAATTATTTTCTAACTTTCTTGGCTTTTCACTGATAAAGTCACTGGTAAATTGCTATAATTAAAGAAGCTGGCTGTGCTTGCCTTTCCTAGACACTGCCTATGAATCTGGATAGAGAGCAATGAGTTCACTGAAAGTTATAGGAAATAAAATATAATTGCCATTAATCAATATTTTCAAGTACCTAGAAATACTCTACACTGACTTGCTAAAATTATTAGTTCCCATTGTAATCATATGAGCTGATGCCTATCAGTTATTATACAATGTTTTCTTCTAAAACAGATTTTTTTAAAAGGATGAGGAAGAAGCTCTTCATTGAGGACCATCAATTGGGTACTGAGGACCATCATCTTCCTGTCGTGTGCATGTCACCACACCCCATCCATTTGGCATGCCACACACTCAAAGTCCATCTAAATTCCTAGGTTTTGTTTATAATAAAATCTCAAACAGTGCACCGAGCAATGTTCAGAGTGGGAAGTTTGGTCCTGCATTTAAGTTAATGACAGCTCATGAGAAATAATTAGGATGAATATACCTGCATATCTCCAAATGATGACATTCTGGTAAAAAAAAATGTATAAGATACATAAAAACAGATGCTATCATAATTAACTTACAGACTCTGCATGTTCCATCACTGCTAACACAAAGAAGACATATTCTTGACCACTTTGGAGTTGCTTGTTTGTAAATCCACCGTAATGCTTGTCATCCCCCAGGGTGAACTCAGTGGGAAGCACATCAAAGTGAGCAGCAATATATGGCTTTAATTCAACTTCTCTCCCATAACGAATGCTTCTGCGTTTCCTAGATATCTCCTTAAGCAGCTTAGAGGGAAGAAAGTGAGAGACAGAAAAAGAAATGTAAACAACAATAACCCAACTTATTACTGCTTTAATGAGACAAATTAATCCAGGATGAGAACCACCCAAACATAATTTGCTCACATTTAAAGCAGCAAGTCAGCATCAATAAACTTTGCTCTTTCTTCTTCATATGTGGGTCTTTCTGCTAAGGTAAGATGCTGAACTGCTACTACAAGGTGAAGCCTAAATACACAAGGCAATCTGAGCCTTTCCTGGTAGCTCCAATTATTGTCCACCCTAGCGAAATACTCTCAAAGGACAAGATTGCATTCTAAGTTGTCTAAGGAAAAACATTAGCTGGATTCACAAAATCCTGCCTTGTAGGGTTTATTATTGCTACTTATTAAACAAATAGTAAGCTTGATAAAGCCAATTAAACCTTCAAAGATGACCAATTTTTAGAGGTTAATATCACTTTGCATTGCTTTTCATAATGAGATAATATACATGATGCAAGTTCCCTCACATCAGCAGAAAGTCTAATGACCAATTTTTAGGTGACATATGTAGACACTGTCACTCATTTAACAGTTCCTGGCTTAACAAGGATCCTTGATTAACAATTTGGGTTATGCATCCTCACCTGTATCGTGGTATTGACCTGAAGAGGTGAATTAGCTTGTCAGAGTGTAGATAAAAATGAATGTTACTATTACCCAGAGGAAAATAAACATATATATGTACAAATAAATCCTTTATATATTTCTAAAAATAAAGAAGTGAAAACGATGCCTGGGTACTCGACTGTTCTACACACCCTTTTCTTAGGAAAAACTCATGTTAATGGTAACTCATGGCTATTGATTTCAAAGTGCTATTGAAGTTAGTTCTATCTTCTCCCATTAAATATGGTATTTCATAGGGCTTAACAGAACAAAAGAGATTTGTAGCAGTCTGGGCTACCTTCTGATGTAAAGAAAAACTGAAGTAGTTATCTGCAAAGAATTCTGGCTTTGATTCACTATTTGTGTAGAAAAGATTATATATCCTAGGACAAAGTGGAAACTGGACTAAACCCTGTTGTAAAAGCTTGCTAAAATTTGGGTACTATGAAAACATTAGAGCAAATTTATTTACTACTTTTGCTTTTATATATGTAAATTACATAGCAAAAAAAAAAACAAACCTAAAAACCAAAAAACAAAGCAGTGACAACTAGTAGAATGAGACACCAGCATAATGAAGGCCAGGTTGCTGTACCAGTGATGGCTGCACACTGTGTGGGTGGCCAACACCAAATCCTCACATCAGGACCCTCATGGTACACTACAGTTTCTTCTGCTCTGACAGTCATAACTGTGTTTAGCTGGTTCAAACTTGTATCCTAGAAATGTAAACTCCTTTGGGTATATAGGCAATCTGTGCCCATGATATTGCTGAAAAATATATAACTCATAATGTTCTAAAATTGTCTATAAAATTTTATTTTTTAGATGCCCATAAACTTACGTGAAATGGATACTCTTCTATTAAAACCACAGTAGATTGGGCATAACTGTTTACCCAGGTTAGGCCATCTGATGATAAATTTTGGGAACTGATTAGCCATGCCACAATTGCATAGTAATAGAGCAAGTTCAGAAATTTAGCCTGACTTTCAATCCTGTTGTCAAATTTAGGTTTATTTATAACACTGATGCTAATAACAATAGCTAACATTGATTAAGCACCTAGTAGGTGCTAGGTACTGTCTGTGAGAGCCTCAACATAAGTTAATTTACTTCTCATAATAAACCTGTAAGATAGTATACCATTAACTCCATTTTATAAATAAGGACACTTAGGCATAACAGAAAATGAGAATTATAATTGGATTCAGTGGGTCAAACAAAATGAAATTATGCATACAACCTTTTTTTTTGTCCAACCATATTTTTGGTTACTTAATTTTATCAGGGAAACAAATGCAGCAGTTTGGCTAAATCGAAAATCTAAATTTTTAAACTCATCCACACGTAGACATATTATTAGATTTTTGCATCTACTATCATGAACACAGAAGAATATGTATTTAGAGTCTTTGTCCTAGATTCTTTTAGCAAGTTATTAAAAAGCTCTGATCTCAAATAATCTTCTACTTGGAAAGTCATTACAAAGGTGACTGTTGATATACAGTAAATGATGGCCTATTACTTTGAGAAGGACAAATGTACTGTAGATGAGCTGAACAGCTTTTTGAACTTAGCTAATCAGAAACATTTACCATCAGTTGCTTATGTGACTGTGTCCTCTCTTCTACTCTACCTATCAAACCCTACCTTCAATTTATTCATATTTCAGATGTAGGCAATTGTCATAATTCATCCATTTTACTGTCATCCCATGAGTATCTTTTGCTAGGATTTCTTAGAAGACTCAGAGGCAGTAAGTTAGTATAAAATATTTGGGTTTTTTGGTTTTCCTTAGATCCAATGCAGCCATTCATTATGGTCAAACCTGGGGTATCAACTCTGCCTGAATGTTGCTCTAATCTCTAGAAGAGACTTCCTGCATGAGACTTAAGTGGGTCAAATGTGATCAGATGACACCAAAGTTAGCCAGTATGTTAAAGTTATAACCACAAATCATCGCAGTATTTTATAGCAAGCCTTTGAAGTACAATGAGATGAAAAGTTTATGATATATTACAAAACCTGCCCTGAATTAAATATAACTAACATTTTAGAAGTCATTCTAAAATTCATTTTGACTATCAATGTCTGTTCTGTCCAGTCTGACCTTGACAACAGAAGTTTCAATATACAAATTTATTATGTGAACCTTATCCCCAGACAAAGGATAAAGGAAATCAAGAGATAATATTGAGAACCACTCAGTTTAGAAAGCCTCTTCCCATTTTTATGGGCCTAGATGGAGGTACACATATGGAAATCCCCTCCGGCTACCAATCTGTTGGATGGTACGGTTCCACATATTTGAATTATAGGCCTTTCTAAAAAAATCACTTGGTCAAATATACTTAAGGGAGGAATGCTGCTATGTCAAACCTGGAAGTGCAAAGCTAAAGATAAAATTACTACAATGCTTTTATTATCTGCTGTAGAGGAATAAAAAAGCAACCTGTCTGCAGAGTTCAGGAACAGGCTGAGTAAGCATAAGGGAAGGCCACAGACTACTTTCAACTGTTCTCCTCCACAATGGTTACAAGATGGATTGGAGGCAATTCTAGGAGACATATGAAGGGGTTTAGGTTTTTATCAGAAATAATTTTCATTTTCCAGTCAATGCATATCTTATTTCTTCCACCATTAATTCTACAATGTGGTCTCAATTATATCAGTAAGAAAAGTGGGAAGCAACCCATCCTGACCTAAAATTTTTGAATTAATAAATATTCTTTATCAAACTATTATACAGATTAATGCACCACAACTTGTGTGATGATTAAAATGACCCTTTGTTATGGGAATGAGCAGCACAGACCCATAACATTTAATTGCAAGAAAGTTCAATGTCATATAGCTCTATACTTTAATCTATTAGCACTGCTGAACATTTTGGAGGTTAAAACCTGGCTGTAAAAGACAGTCAGCTTCCCATTTCTGTCAAATGGCTCAATTTCTAAGGAAACCTTATTATTTAAAAAGTATCTAATGTTGTTTGGGTTTTGACTTTATTTCCTTGACAACAGTTTAAAAAAAAAAAACAGAGAGACACACAGATTCTACAAGTTGACTTTGCATTTTAAATGCACTTCCAACTGAATTCTGTAAATCAGCTGAGAACTTATTCAAATAATAAAGAATATTTTAGGATTAACTGATTAGTCAGCTGCAAGTAAAATCAGGCCTTACTTCAAAATGTTAACAAAAGGCTTGCTGATCATTTTGCATCTTCAAATGAAGGTTTACAATTCTCCAAATACCATAGAATATTGTTCTTGTTTCTTTATTATTAACAGAAAAATAGTACCCTTATAACAAATTATTTGAAAACTTTATTGAAATGGTGTCTGATTTTATACCCCTCCAATGCTCATCTAATCACTAAACAATGACACATAATCACAGTCATAACCTTGAACTTAACCTCCCTTCTGAACGTGGTCCTTTCATTCAGAAGAGTAAAGTGGGTGATATGAGCCATACTCCTAGAGATGACATAAGTCTCCCCAAAGAAGCAAATAGTCTTTATCTGTAAAATCATAGTCCTCTTAGTTCAGACACGAATGGAATAAACATCACTTTCCTGGTATGCAGATAGTGAATTTCTGCTTTTCTTTGTTGTATTTGAACTAATTTTGAGGTAGAGAGAAAGCATATAGAAATAGCAGATTGGACTATAAGATTTAATGTATTTTGTAAATAAACTCAATAAATTAAAATCTCATATGTCCACATGTGGGGGCCTTTTATTTGCTATCTAGATTCAAAAGGACAAAAGAACATGTGTTAAAATAACAAGGTTCTGTATTTAAATATGTGAATGTCAGCCATTAACTAGTTGTGGATCTCTGGGGATCTGGTGTAACATTTTTGATATTTTTTCTTTTTTAAATAGAACTTTGCACTAGTTGGACCTTAGTTTTTATATTATGTCCTAACTTTCAAAATGTTTTTTTTTTTTTTTCCGAAAACAATATCACTTCAAATGTAAGATTTTAAAAACTAAAATCATCCTATTTGGTACTTGCTCTGTCTTTTGTTCGATATTTCTCACTTGGCTCAACATTTTGTGATATGTTTTATTTTTCCCTTGCTGTTAAGTGCATTCTCCAGTGAGCAACTGGAGAAGAACGCAGATAAGTCAAAGTTTGAATTCTGGTGCAAAAGGCAGTTGAGCATTTGAAACAGCCTTGCTACTGTTGTACCTGGACCTTCAAATTCATCACAATAGTGAGGCTTTGCTGCAGTGATAGTGAAGGCAAAGATAAACAGCTGGGACTATATCAAATTAAAGAGCTTCTGCCCAGCAAAAGAGACAATAACAAAAACAAAGAGAAACCCCACGAGCTGGGCGAACATTTTTGCACACAACACTAATGATAAAGGACTGATCACAAAAATCTGCAAAGAGCTGATGAGACTCAACACGAAGAAAATAATCCAGTCAAAAAATAATGGGCAGAAGAGCTAAAAAGAAACTTCTCTGAAGAGGAAATGCAAATGGCCAACAGGCATATGAAAAAATGTTCAACATCACTTGTAATCAGGGAAATGCAAATCAAAACTACCATGAGATACCATCTTACACCAGTGAGAATGGCACATATTAAAAAAAACTAGCAACAACAAATGTTGGCGAGGATGTGGAGAAAAAGGAACTCTCCTGCACTGTTGGTGGGAGCGCAAACTGGTCCAACCACTATGGAGAGCTGTGTGGAGATTTCTTGACCTACTAAACATAGAGCTTCCACATGATCCAGCAATTCCACTCCTAGGTATTTACCCAAAGGACACAGAAACATCAATTCCAAAGAGCACCTGCACCCCTATGTTTATAGCAGCACTGTTTACAATAGCTAAGCTTTGGAAACAACCAAATGCCCAAAAATAGATGAATGGATCAAGAAGATGTGGTACATATACACCATGGAATATTACTCAGCATTCAAAAAAGATAAACACATGCAATTTGCAGCAACATGGATGGTGCTGGAAGGGATCATGCTCAGCGAAATAAGCCAGAAAGAAAAAGAAAAATACCGGATGGTCTCACTCATAGCAGGAATCTAGAAAACTTAAATAAGGGACCAGGAAAATGAATAACTATAAGAAAGTGAAAATCAAAATCAACAAACAACTATGAACCAGAGACACTCTATGGGTGGTGGGGGGTGGGGAGGGGAGGGGTTGGGGTCAAAATAAGGGGATTGCAATTGTATGGGGAATATAAAAATAAAATTTATTTAAAAAAAATAGTGAGGCTTTGCTGACAATTCACTTCACTTTCCACACCTCTGCATCCTGTGTTGCAAGGGGCAAAATATTAGTGCCAACAAAGATTAGACAGTTGTGAGCTTTATTACTGCTTACTGTCTTTTAATTAAAAAGTTGACTGTTGTAAACTCCATAAAGGATATTATGAGCATAGAACTGAACCATCCCACCAGAGAGCCATGTATACCACACACAAGTCAGCCACTGGATTAGTTATGGAACACCTCCAGAGAGGAGGAAGTCATTTAATAAATTAAATAACTACTGAAAGACACAGTCAAGAAAGACATAGTTACCTCATCTAATTCCATCTCATCTGGACTCTCCCATGGCTTGATAAATTTCCCACGAGATTTCTTCAAAGGCACAATTATTATGTAGTAACCTCTGTACAAGAATAGAGAGACAAAAATAAGATTAGTTAGCAGGAAGAAAAAATAGACGCTTCCTCAATCTCCTACAGACCAGTGATTGAGACTGAAGGCAAATTATGGATGTGGAACTACTTGTCCATCAATGACAACCACCTGTTTGTTCAATTTTAAAAACCACATGGGAAGACATTTATGTGTGACTTTAATGATCTTGTATGGTAATATCACCATGGTTGACTGTTCTTTATTAGGTATCATAAATAGAGCAGAAATAGTTTCCTAGGATCCTGGTGCTGGACACATACAAGGATTGTATATTGAAATCTACCAGCACAAACTGCTGAACTAAGTATTTGCTGTGTTATCTATTTATAAGAGGATACTTTCATAAGATATGAAATATTTATATCAAGTGCTTACTTCGTGTTGGGAAATAAGTAGTTTTCCATCACGATCGCATTTAAAAATTCTAAAAACTTTATCAAATGCAGGTAAACATTATTTTCCATAACATGCATTCATGGTTACTGCTTGTTAAAACTCCCAGAAACCTTTGTAATAAGAACACTTTTGGCGGTTCCATTATGCTTATACAAATAAAACTTGCATTTGCTACCAAAAGTATTTATTGCACACAAAGCCACAAACTTTGCATTCAGTCCCTCCATGCCTTGTAACACAGTTGTAATTGCAGTTCTCACAGATGGAGACTGCAGCCCTGCAGGATCTTGCAATATTTTATTTTCAAAAAAGGAAATCCATTAAAATAAATTCAATATAATAAAATTACTTTTAGCTTAAACAAATGCCTATATTATGTTAATAGTAATTTTGTTTATAAAATCCTATAATACATTTTATTTGTATAAAAAATGAAAACCATGCAATTTACCTAGATGACAGTCAACTACAATATAATATATAAATGGTCCTGTCCATAAGTATATAGGGATTACTTGTTAAATTGTTTTGTAACTTCCATATATGCTCTGCTCATATATTCATGGTTAGGGACTCTACTCACAGACTGATCTTAGGTGATCATTATACAAGGACTTTGAACTTAGGTATATTAAAAAAACAGCTGAAATGTCAATCATTTCTTCTTTCTTAGTTATTATGTTAAATGCATAATCATGCTTTGTTCTCTCTACAATCCCATAAGGTGATTGACAAAAAAAACAAATCCAGAGAGATTAGCTATTCAAGTTACAGAGAAAGTAAGAGGATACCCACTTGTGTGCATTTTAACCTTGAAAGGTCTGCCTCTTTCTGTTTCATTTACTCTGCATGATATGGTAGCTTTTTAAAGATTCCATACACTAATAATGAAAATGAATACACATTTTTAGAAGGAAAGGGGAGAGGGATGAGAGGATGAGGGATGTGGGGGTGAGGGGACAGAGGCGATCAATTTTCTATCACACTGGATCACAGAGACCAATCTCATGGCAGGAAGGTCTCTTTCTAATTATCTCAAAGTAATGCTTGTAATAAACTCAGTAAACCCATGATAAAGAACTCTCTTTCCATCAATACAGTCTAGGGCAGGACTGTCCTGGATGGCAGCCTCTAGCCACCTCATGGCAATGAAGCACATGAAATGTAGCAAGTCTGAACTGACGTGCTCTAAATGTAAAAGCCACTGGATTTTAAAGACGCAGCAGGAACCATGAATGTAAAATATCTCAGTATTTTTACAAACAATGATTATGCATTAAAATAACATTCTGGACATACTAGGTTAAGTAAAAGGTTATTAAAATTATGTCCACCTATTTTTCTATACTTCTAAGGCAGCTGCTAGAAAATGCAGCATTTCACGTTTGGCTCTCATTGCATTTGTTTGGTGGTGCTGCTCTAAATTCTGGTAGAACCCTCTACCCACGGTGCTCTGAGCAGCTAATCAACAGACTCACAGGAACACATCACCCAGCCACTCATTTTTTCTACTACCAATAATCATGACGATCAGGGTGGGAGAGAAGAAGGAAAAGTTTTGTGTGTGAGAGAGCGGCCAATATCTTTTATTTCATGATCCAAAGTAAGCTTCCTCCTCTTCCTGTCCTCCTACCACCTGAAGGATTTGCCAAATAAGTCCATCATGTTAAATGAGCATGGAGAAACATGACAGGGGCTGCAACTGAGCGTACAAAATAACACTGCAGATGTACTTGATAAACACACTTGTCAAGGAACCTCTTGCTTTTCAGTACCAACTGCACAAAGGCAGAACAACTTCTCTGCACCTGAAGTAATGATACTACACGTTATCAGCGAGCTCCCACTATCCTCTCATAATCTTGTAAATCAAGAGTAAGCTGATGAATTCTATTAATTTGTCTTCTGCTTTCACATTTTGAGTTGCCATGCTCTTACATGAAAAAAGAATTTGTTCTTTCTTTTACAGCACTCCCCAACTAATCATTTTACTTTGTGGCCTGGATAAGAATTGAATAGCCACCCCCGCAGCAATTAATTAACAGGGTGGCCAGATATCTATAAATTTTTCTTTCCACTGATCTCTAATGCATTCATCTAGAATAGCTAAAATGGAGCCAGCTTCAAAGCAGCATTTACTGTGGCAAGAAACGGGGCACTTGGAATTTGGAACTCTGCTCTATACAATCTTGTCTGGGTCTAAAGCCACATATTTCAAATGTGTTCTATGCAGTTATGGCTTTGTTGATTCTCAAGCCTTTGTTTTTCCTGAAAACTACCTTTTCCTTGATAATCCTATTTGGTGGCTATTTCTCAGGTCCTCCATGAACCACACAGGCTGCCTTTCTAAAATGTTTGAAGTATACCACTCCATAGCCCACAGCCTCCACTCCGCCTCCGCTGAAATGTATGATTGCCTTTTCCTTTTGTACCCAAATAAACTCAAGGGGTTGAACACAGTTTGAGAAACAATGCACAAGACAAAATGACACTCTGAATTCATGATCAAAAAACTTAAACAGGCCTTCAGCACTGTCTGACAATCCTACCAGACTTTTCCAGTTATCTAGTCTTTCCACTTCACACAGTAACTTTCTCAAACTTTCTGTCTTGGCCACAAACCTTGTAGGCCTCCTCCTAGAAGATGTCTTTATCACTTAAATACAAAGAAAAATTTAAAAATTCAGACAATTCCTTTATTTCCAATTTACCAAGTTACACCACCACCTATACCTGCATGTAAACCATCGTCCTGCATTTTGGAAGAGAAGGGCTGGCTCTACTTTTTTAAGCACAATCACTCTTTCTTAAATTGATTCCATTATCTCACTCTCTTAGAAAGTTTACTGGATCCACACCCCTCTCTTCCCATTGGATTCTGTCATTATTTTTTTTTTTTATTTAATTATACAAGCACTGGGTACAGTCAGAAGCGCGGGAGGGTGAGAGAATACACAGAGCCAGAGCAGGGAGCAGAGCAGGCAGAAGGACCGAAGTACACTGCTGAGGGGAGCAGCGGGCGGCAGGAGAGGTCTGCGCACCATGCGGGACCCTGCTCCGGTGGCCAGGGAGCAGCCGGGGATCGAACCGGCACTGCAGAGGCTGCGGGCAGCTTCGCAACCCAGCGCTCAACCGCTGCGCCACCGGGGAGGCCCTGTCATTAGCTTTCAACCACACATCTTCTTTGTTTCTTCACTTTCCTTCACTTGGCAGCCAACTATGTTCTAGGCTCCAGTCTCATCCACTCACCTGAACACTTTTGCCATGGTCCCCAGTGACCTTGATAACACTGCATCAACAGAATGTTTGACTCCCCTCTTCTTGACTTGGTGCCTTCACAGAATCTGACAGTGTTTCTAAGAAACCACACCTCATGCGCTGAAATCCCATGAGCCCTTTCTCAGTATCCAGCTCTCCAGGTCTTCTTCTTACACCTCACACCACAATGCCCTATTTCCTTAGCAGGATTTATTTTCTGCAACTGACCAAATGAACGGTGGAGATCCTCAGGCCGCTATCCAGGGACTGCTCTTCACTCCCTCTCTCTTTCCTAGGTGATCTCATTCCAACTTGGCAGCATTTATCACCGAGATACCAGTGAATTTTAGATTCGTGTTTTTAGCCCCAGATGCTCCTCTGAACAACACAGTTTCATCCAGTTTCAACTTTATGTCTCCACCTGTATTCCACAAAAGTACTTCAAATTTGCTGTGATTAAAACAATAAGCCTCCTCCAAAACTGCTCTCCAATCCCTTTTATGCCATAAAACTTGGTATTACTGACATTCTTTTTATTCTTTCCCTCTCTCATAGCAAATCTACCACATATCCTATTATTTCCTAACTCTATCTCTAGTGTATTGCTTCTCTCTATTTCTATTGCCACCATGCTGGCGTCATTCTAATGTCTCAAGTCTGGACTGCTTTATTTATTTTATATTACTTGGATGTTTTTATTGATGCAGACAGCATGTATGATTTAGGGGTATAGTTCACATCTCTTCAGATTAATGTTACCATTTTTATCTCATAACTTTCTCTCTCCACTGAGTTTATCCCCCTTTAGTCCAGTCTCTAAAATTTTGCAATAGAAAAAAAATTGTAATATTTACATTTATTTTTTATATTACATCATCCTTCATTTCTGTACAATGTGTGATTTCCCGTGACATTCCCACCACCAATTCACCCGTGCACCATCACGATAGTCCCTTGTGCTCTTCCCACCCTTGTCCTCTTCCCTCTCCCTTCTCCTCCCCTACAGAATATCTCTGGTCTATGCTTGCCTGTTGATTTTGATTTTTTACTTTATTATAGTTATTTTTTTTTCCTGATCCTTTATTTGGTTCCTCTACCTTCCTCCTATAAGTGAAACCACCCAATATCTTTTGTTTTCTTTCTGGCTTATTTCGCTGAGCATAATCCCTTCCAGCTCCATCCATGTGTAACATTTACATTAAAAAAAAAATTCAGATCCTCCTTTCTCTCAGGATAAATATCTTAGGTATAAGACTCAGTGAAATCTTGCTTGAATCTGTCGACACTCTCTGAGTTACGCATCCTGATGAATCT